GATCTTTCCAAGATGTTGCATAGAAAGTAATAGCTGTATCATCTGTAAAAGAGACTATTTTTGCGTTATCAATGTGAAGATTGCACAAGTCATTAATAAAAACAAGAAATAGAGTTGGGCCAAGAATACTTCCCTGGGTGACACCATAGGTAACAGGGAGTTCGTCACCGATGCAGTCCGATATTTTAACCATTTGAGTGCGATTTGTAAGGTAACTTCTGAAAAAGTCTAACTGTAAACCTCTGACACCAATTTTCTCTAACTTAGCTAAAAGAGTAGAAACAGGAATTGAGTCAAATGCTTTTGCTAGATCTAGAAATACCGTTAGGATCTTTTTATGACTATTTAGATTAGTGACTATGAAATTTATTAATTCATGAACTGCGTCAAAAGTTGATTTATTTCTACGAAATCCGAATTGTTGAGGTGAGATTAATTTAAAGTGTTCAAGATAATGGACCAGTCTATTGTTCACTAAACGTTCTAAGACTTTAGATAAAGCTGGTAGTACGGCAATAGGGCGATAATTAGTAACTAAAGTCCCATCACCACCCTTGAAGATGGGATGAATTATAGACTTTTTAAAGAGTTAGGAAAAATAGCATTTTCGAAACAGAGATTGAATATATGGCTTAGCACAGGTGCTAGCGTAGCAGAGTATCTTTTTAATATCGCGGAAGATATGGCATCCCAACCGGTAGCTACATTTGACTTTAAACTCTTTGTGATTGATATTATTTCATCAGTATTGGGTTTTTCAAGAACAAAAGAAGAAATACATGTAAAAGATTGTGAAGAAGTAAACTGAGGTAAATTGTTAGACTTGATTATATTGTCCGCAAGCTCCTTTCCTGCATCAACGAAAAATTTGTTAACATTATTGCAAGATTGTTTTAGAGACCTTGCCTGTGTAACTAATTGACATGTTGCTTGTTTATTGTGGAATGTATTTGTGATTTTTTTGATAGTATCCCAAAGTGCTTTAGGGTTTTTTCCTGCTTTACTTATTTCTTGAGCATCATAATCTCTCTTTGCTTTCTTTAAAATTTTTGTGCAGAAGTTTTTATACCGCTTATAAGTGATAGACAGTGTTAAATTATTAGGAGACTTTTTTACTTTTCTATGCATTGAATCTCTATTTTTTATACACCTTAACAAACCCGGTGTCATCCACGGTTTAAGTATTCTATTTCTGGACGAAATTTTTTTAACTGATGAATTTTCAGCTATTGCATCCGATAATAGTTTAATAAGAGCTTCAGTTGCTGTATTAGGATCTAACATGGAATAAATGGGTACTAAGTTAAGTTTTTCGACTGCTTTATCAAGATTGTCAAAGTTAACTTTTGAAATAGTGGAAATTACAAAACTACGTTGTGATATTTAAAATTAAGTTAAGAATAATAAATAAGTTAAGAAAAATAAAATTTAAAGTTAAGTTGTAATTTACGGTTAGTACAGCGTTCAACGTACAATAGCGTATATAATTTAAAACAAGATGTATCATGTTGATTATGGTGAGTGATTATCAGGAGTAATAGAGTTTTTATGAAATGTTTAATTGTGAATACTGTACGAGTTAGGACGAGTCTGATGAGTGAGTTTAAGTGTGTAGTATGTTTTGTTTGTTGGTTTGTGAGTTTGTGTAGTGTTTGTGTTAAGATCCTAATTTTTAAAACTAATCCTATAAATATTAATAAGAAAAACAAAGAAATAAATCTTAAAATTAACATGTAGTAACGTAGTGAATAGTTAAAATGTATTTTAAGGCACAATGAAGCAATATCTAGTCATTCACATTTTAGATCCTCGAATTGGGCTTCATTTCTAATTAATAGCGCAGGTGATCCGTCTGATTTTCGTATAAAAACTTTTCCGTTTGCAGTCCAGCAAAACTGTGTTTGTGAATGTTTTGATAATTGACGTGCCAGATAGTATATTTTCTTCGTACTAGGGGTAAGGTGTTCGGATACATACACTGGAGAGGCACTAGTATTTATACCAAAATGCGACACATTGAGTTTTTTACTAGGGTTGTTTTTAATATAATTATTAAATGATTTTACAGAGCTAAGTATTGTCTGCTTTTGTGACATGTTTGCTAATTCAACAATTATGGGTCTGGTGAAACCCTTTTTTCCGGGGCCACGAAATATATCCTTAATATCACACGATTGTAAATTAATATTTAATGTTTTCGAGAGGTAGATCACTAATTGCGTTAAATCATTTTTGTTTTCTTTTTCTTTTTTCAGGAATATTACGTATCTCTAAGCCATTTCTTCTGCTATTTCGATAGAGTTCCTCAACTTTTTCTTCCAGAGACATAATGTATTTATGATTATCTTTACATTGTTTTTCAAGCGTTATTATTTTGTTTTGCATATCCTCATATTTCTGAGATATAAATTCCAGTGACTTTTCTATGTCTGTATTTATCTTCTTTATATTTGTAAGACTATTTTCCATGGAAGTCCATGGAAAAATAGTCTTACAGCGAAAGGAGGAGGCGAAAGAGGTATGTGAGGATCGTGCCAAATGGAAGTCCGTAGTCTCTGCCTACCCCTCTGGGTGACAGGCGTGAGTGTTTATGTATTATGTATTTATGTACTATTTTCCATGTTAGATAGTCTGTTGTCATGATCAGCTTTCCATGACTTCAGCATTTGCATAACTTCTTCCTTGAACGAAAGAAAGTCATCCCTTGAGAGTTCATCGTGACGTCTTTTTTGTCTTGAAACCGCAAGCGAAGAAGGGGTTTTCGGTAGTTTGGAGATATCGGAGTCTGATCCTGATTTATTCGGTGAACGAAGCATGATGATTTTTAAATATGTTGAGCAAAGCAATAATTTTCTGCAGATTAGCTATTTTATAATAGCAGGCGCTTCTTGAGCAAAGGCAGTGGGTGGAGCCAAAAATTATGCAGCCAATGCACGTTAGTATACACGCTGGCAATATACAAAAGGCGTAGCTTACCTCTTCAATGAAGCAGGATGGCACTACGTTACGAGTATGTTGCCCTGGTACACGCACGAATTTTTAGTATATTTTTGAAGAATTATTTTATTTATAAAAACAACACAATCACAGAGGACACGTCTGTTCACTTTCGCGGTCCGGAGGGAAGGAAATCACATCAAAAGCGGTTGATTTTTTCATGAAATATTCTATTTTGAAAAAAAATGATGGATTAAGCGCTGGATGGAGCGCTTTGATATTAAAATTAGCGGGAAGTCCCAGGGGTGGCCTGCAGGATCAACCATTTTTTTTAAACTGGAGTGACAGACAAACATACAGTCCTTCTAATGGTAAGTAGCTACAAGAGTCAGCGCAGCGGACATTTCCTTGCCCTAAAACCCTATTAGAAATGAGAGAAGGCCTTTGTCTAGCAGTGGGGCATATCGTCCCCGTAGTTGGAAAATTAAATAACTCTGATTTTGTAGTTCTGAGATAAACGCGATTTAGTGTTTTTTTTTTTTCAGTTAATGTACATTTGTTAAAAAATTTAAGACAATTTACTGTCGGTAATTTGATATTTTGTGGACCTGATTACCTTATACATTATACTTTAACAAACTGAACTCTATCTTTAACTATAACTAAATAACACATAAAAAATCAAGTTGTTTAATTTTGCCACAACTGTTATTTATAACGTACTACAATTATCTACTTATTTTGGCTATTTATTTAGTTTTCCTACTAACTAAGTACATTTGGTAGAGTAAAATTTGGTGAAATAAATGCATTTATTGAATTTATCAAACTCGAAATATTTTGAAATGTAAAATTTAGTGGCTTTGTACGTTATTATTACTTCGATATTTTTTTAACTATTATTGGTCTCATATAAAATAAAAGTTGTTTTATGATATTAATAAAGTTATATTCAGGAAAAAATAGAAAAGTACAATAAAATTTAGAAAAAGTGTATTGTAATCAGATACTTATCTTACCACAAACTTAAAAAAATAAACAAAATTACACCAATTATAACAAGTGGAAACAAATTAACTTAAAGTAATCTTTCAAATCAAAACAGAAAATAATTTGAACCCAAAAAATAACATTATGGCTCTAAAATCAGACCTAATTATAAAAGACGTACTTAAGTAGTAAGTAAAAAAACTATGAAAAACTTAAAATAGGTATCAATTAGAACTAAAAAACATAAGTTTGTATCAAATCAAAACATAATTAAAACAGTACTATAATCCTATTCTGTGTTAAAACTCAAAAAATTAAAATTGTTTGCACCTAAGCCATTTAGGTCAGTCTCAACTCAACTAAAAAATGAACACCAAAACAAAGGTACAACAATCATTATAAAACTTTCAAACGACTCAATTCAACTAAAAATATTTCGTAATAAGGTAAGTAAAACACAACACTTAAATAAAGCTCAAAACTCAAAAAATAATATGACACTAATCAGGTACATTGAGTACACCAATCAACAACTTATTCTAATATCAATTTACTTAGAACTAAAAATACTTTCATAACAAAATAAAACATAATTTAAATTCAAAACAATTGAAATGGCTGTACCTAATCAATACTTAAATGTAAACTTGTAAAAAAGACATAAACATAGGTACCCATTCATTCAAACACAGCGTAAATCCCTTCAAAGTTAGAGTGAACAGGCTCCTTCTGGGTAAGCTCGCTCCATCGTAGACTTTGTCTCTGTCATCTCTGACCAAGACTAGAGTAAAGAGCAAACACATCACAAAAAAAAGTATAATTAACCAATGTAAAAACCCTATTGTAAAATCATTTTACTCATGCTGTTAGGGTTTAAAAGTTTAGTTTAGTTTTCAGCAATATGTAGAGCAAGGGGCCAAAATAAGCTTACTCATCGACTTCAGGTGAATCAGTGGAGCGTGATGGACCCTGGTCTTCGTTTGAGCATGGTAAACTTTCGTACCAGCCGTGAAGCTCTTTAGGAATTATATTTTTCTTACAGAGCTGTAAAAGGTCTTTCTTTTTTTGTTTTGTTATAGGAAGACATTGTTTACATGCCCGGGAAAGTTTGGAGTTCTCCTAGTCGGTCTCCCTGGTTTACAAAGAGTATTTAGTAAGTTATATGGCCCATCGTAATAGTATTTGTATTTAATAAAACCAGGTAATTCTTTTTCAAATCTAAGACATTTTATATTCAACCAGCACACTTTCTTCCCATTCTCCGCTATAGTTTTGTTTTTAATTATTTTCGAAGCAAGTGCTTTTACATCAATCATGTCTTGATATGATAATTCAGTTACATTATATAGAGTTACATTTTTATTTTGTCTTTTTGATCTTGCCCGTAGCCTAATTCCCTTCCAATCTATTATAGAATACGTGTCTGTGTACATTTTTTCTTTTTCTCTGGCACTATGCATTGAATCTACTTCCATAAAACCATGACCACTTTCTAGATACTTCTGTTCTAATACTTTGATTGTCTCATGCGTATGTACTAAGTACAATAAAAATGCTGCTATGTACTGATTTCGGTTTTGTCCCGAGCACGTGTCGGAATAAATGGTGACGTGCGTTAAAACCTCGGGGAGATTCTTAATCCATAAATGAATAGCAGATGCTATTTCAACACTGCCTCTTTTGCCGTTTATTTCCGTCCAGATCATACAGTGAGCGTCGTTCTGTGAAGGTTTAAACTCATAAATAGATAAATTATATAAATTTAATTTTCTGGAATAATACATTAGACTATCTGCAGTCGATGGAATCTGCAGTAGACTTTGCAAGTCCATGGTGACACACAAATATGATTCATCTTCTCCCGACTTCTTTTTATCCAGCTTTTTAGATCTATAAGATGCCTCTTTTCGCTCTATATGTTGAGTATACTCATTTTGAATATTTATATTAGTTTTATCTTTTTTGTAATTGTTACAAATGCTACATTGATCCTTCTTGGGGTGATAGAACGCTAAATGGTATTCTGTACCAAACACTTTCTTATAAATGTTTAATTTTACTGGCACTTTATTGCTTTCTTTCATTTTCTGCACATACAAATCATACATTTTTGATATTGACAAGGTAGGTTCTAAGTATTTCCTGGTTGTTTTTTTTTCTACAGTAATGGGAATCAATTACAGGAAAACTTTCAATGTGATTTTTTACCTCTTGTATCTGTTCTCCAGGAGTTTTGTTTGCAGGCGCTTGTCTGCCACGATTATCCATTTTTGTAAATACACCATGATCATCCACATGTTTTACTGCAGTTTCAATTGGGTCAGTAGAAATGCAGAGTGGACATAAAATAGTTCTTGCATACTCGTTCAAATACAGTCTTCTTTTTATAGAAACCGTATTCTCTGCTGGAACTTCTTTGTTTTTCAATCGGTACAGATTTTCTTGTAGTATGCACTGGCTTAATGATGATGCGCTTAAGCAAAAATTCTTTTTGCAGCTTAAAATCTTGTATAGACCAATAGGATTTGCAAAGTTTCTCACGCTCGTTTTGTGTAAACTTTTCTGTGCATTTCTGGAGACAATTTTGGCTGCATTTAGGACTTTTAGGTAGTTTAGCTGCAAGAAACTTTTCAGTTTTACTCTTATATGGCAAACATTTTCGTTTCGTCTCCAACTCTTTATTTCTTGTCCAGTTTGTTTGATTAGTATTTTTCCATCTGTAGATTTCTTTTTCCTTATTTCCGGTTCATTTTTCTGAATCTGTTGTCTCAGCGATTGTGATATTGTGTTCCATGATCCTTCTATCACAGTTAACTGGTGAGACTTTGTCAATAGGAGTTTCAATAATAGCGCGAGTTGTTATAATATTACCTGTTTCATCTTCAGAGTCACTCGACAAAATGGGGTTTATTCGTTCAAATCTCTTAACTCTTTTTTTCTTCTTAGCCATTGAAATATTGATGTTTATTAAAGAACCACTTTTCCTTTTTATTTTATTTTCTTCTTCTGTGTCCGGAATCCATGAAGATCCAGAATCAGAAAAAGGTTCTTCATCTGTCGAAGGTGGCATTGGTTCTATACCCGAAATTGGACTTGACCCTCTGATAAGCGAACTGACATCTTTATAGTTGTATAATATTATGTTGTCATCTTTATTTAAATTAATTTTACTGCTACACAAAGACATGGGACTAATATTTACAAGCATGGGTGCTGATTGGGGTGGGTTAATGTTATTAGTAATCATTTCTCTAGCCATTGTTGATGCTGGAGCCGATTCGCATGTAATTATCTTAAATTCGTCATGGTCAGGAAGCTTAGGAACATCACTAACCAACAGCCCATCGAGCATTTTTTCTATCGTAATATCAACAGCAAAATTTATGTCGTTGCAAACATTTTTGTTCATTTCGGATGGTAATTTCTGGCATGTTATAACATTATGTTTTTGTGGGCTGACAATAATGGTACTTTGGTCCTGTTGTTTGATTGTCTTATTTTTGTCCTAAAACAATAAGAAGCAATAATATAGTAGGTATTTAATGAGGAAACAAGTAAAATAATAATCATGTGACAAGAGTTTATGCAGTCAAATTTGTCAAGTCAAGTCAAGGCACACGTTTGGTCATCAAGCTTAATATGCCTCGGAATTCGCCAACTTTGATACGGTTAGATACATTAGGTATCTAGGTTGGTTAGGTCACTTAGGTAATAATGTCAGCCATACAACAAGAGTTAGGTACTTAAAACGGGACCACTCCTAAGAACTATCTGAGCACCTAGTAAACAAAACCGCCTAGTAAACAAAACAAAAAAATCTTTTTGTTACCTAAAAATTATTTTTTTTGCTATAGGTACCTTTTTTATGGGGTGGTAACGTAGGTACCCTACGTAGTGTCACTCTTAAAAGAATATTTAACGAAAATACCCAACAAAACAATTTGTGTGACAAGCTAAAATTTCCGGTAACCTTAATTCTTCAACTTAAGAGTCAAAATTCCAATGAAAGCAGAAGAGTTATCAACTTCTCCCACAACTCAAAATGATTGATATTCAAACTCGCATAAGGGAGGAAAAAATAAATATCAGTACATAGTTGTGACATAATTATTAATTAATGTTGTTCAAACGTTATTACGGTTAAGAAATACGTACTTAATCGTATTATTTCTAATTTCTTAATTTAATTTGCAAAAAAATTGTTCTAAATTATCATAGGTACATACCTCAGATGAATCTTCTTCCTTTTGACACATTTTCACCATAAATCTACCTCGCGAATCCATTATTGGTCACTCTGACGTCAACGAAATAGAAGGTCACGTATTAGACTAAAACGCACGACACGCGAGCAATGCATCAAACCGCACCCGCTCACCCCCGCGCTCTCCGCCGTCTTTCCCGATCAGAATATTTCGCGCCAAATTCTCTTAAAAATTTAATGATGACTTTCCTCAGGTGCATTTTGTTTTATGTCAATTATAAACAACTTAATTTATTTAAGTTTATTTGCCTAGTATCTTATAATTAATCAATATGTAGTTGTAGAAGAAATAGATAACATCAAGTATTTATAAATTAAGTACGTTATATCAGAATTCTGAATAGCAGAATTAAATAAAAAGAGTTATTTAGTTTTCCTAGAACTTAGTTTTGTGAAAGAATTTTGAAGTTGAGGAAAAATTCAACAACTCATGTTATTTAATTTATTTCACATACAAGTTATCATTGACCACAGTTATTGATTTATTTACTGAGTTATATATTTTTTCTTTAAAAAAATAGTGTTTGTCTGAAGATATTTATTATTCCATCTGTCCGACAAAAATGGCTACATTTTTGGAACGGAATAAGATACGAAAACGCCTGTAAGGCTCAAATATGCGGCATATTTTAGGTGTTTTGAAAATACGGAAAAGTCAATATCGCCAAATTATTTAATTTTCCAACTACGGGGACGATATATAGGCTGTAACTATAACTCTTTAATTTTACTAAAGTCCATGTGTTGTCCCCTCTGATAACTAAGATATAATACCTTACAGCCTTATTTTATCCATCTAATACCAGACCAGAACACAGTAGTGTAAGTACTGCTATTTGACTGCAGAAATAGGCAAGAGAGTGGTACTAACTCAATAGTATAACCAAAATATATCGGTGTACGTGAAATGTGTGGGAGATAAATAGTGCTGCACCATGCAATCTGCCTCAAATAAAATCATAATCGATACTTACAGATTGCAGTATAATTGTATCTTCAATTTGTCGCAGGTGATGTAAATGAATATTTTTATCCTGCCACGGTGAAGCCAAAAGGATAGTTACGATTTTAGAAGGCTATGTATGTATGTTCGTCTGTTCCTTCAGATCTTCTAAAGCTAAACTATTCTTTATATTTTAACAAATTCGATATCTTTAAATGAAATATATCCTTTTGCGGGTTTTAGACTACATTAAGTCACATATTAAAAACTACCATGGCGGCTTATTGCGTATACACTTACTTATAATCTTAATAATGAAATATCGTGTTTGGTAAATTAAAAAAGTGACTTTCAATAAGTATTGTCATAATCTACATTGAATAAAAAAGTTTCTGTTTCTGTTTCTGGTATCTCCAATAAAAGGTGTACTTCGGAATGTACTTGAAATCCTGAAAATACATGTTATAAAAAGTTTACTATATTATTTATCAATTATTTAAATTTTTAAAAAAAAAGTAACTAATGAAGGTTCAGTGCACCTGATAATGGTAAGTGGCTAACTGCAGCCCATAGAAATTTGCAGCTAATATCAAACAAAGTAGGCTACGTCGTTGTTATCTTTAAGGACTCAGATGGAATGCCTTATAGCATGATACCTAAGAAAATGAAATGTATTCCCGCCTCTTAGTTTCGTGTAAAAGAAAAAGAAGAGAAAAGAAATTGCTTAAGGAAGCGCTGTTCTTAAAAACACGACATGCGATTTATGATGTTTATGTAAATTAAGAGATAATAACGAAAACCAAACTGCAATAGAAAACGTGTACTCAAAAGGTATTAAGCGGGACAATGATTTATGATTCTGTCTATCTGTAGTCTGTAATATATAATTAAAGTAAAAACGAGTTTGTATGTGTAGCCGTTGTCATGCATTGTAACAAAAATTTCCATAAATGTAGTTGGGGTTTAATTTTAAACTTTTCATTGTGTTTTAGGGAATAAAAATGATGTACAAACAAAAAATGTTAGATTTATATTTTCCTTCGAAGAGAACTATTTTATTGTAAAAATGTGAACTCACCTAAAGGTTTTTGCAATTTTACTATATTATACTTTTCTTTTACTATATTCTAATAAGCCGTGGTAGCTCAGATGGTTAGCGCTCGCTGTAAATTTCACAGTATGCGAGCAACCCGGGTTCAATCCCTGCCGGCACAAATGAAATTGTTAATTGCAATTTTAAGTGCTGATTTACCACGTGCTCGGCGGTGAAGAAAAACATCGTGAGGAAACCTGCATGTCAGAGAAATAAGAAAAAAAAATTTCAAAAACATGTGAAGTTCATCAACACGCATTGAGGCAGCGCGGTGGACAATTCCTTGCCCTAAAACCCTCTCAGAAATGAGCGGAGGCCTGTGCCCAGCAGTGTTACGTATATAGGCTGTAACTTTACTTTACTATACTTTATTCTAATTAAAAAATAATTTTCATTAAGTAACATATAAGATGCTTTGTCCTGAATGGCTGAATGACAGATCAACGCACAGCTTAACTCGCTGAACGTAGAGACCGAAACTTGTAGTGTATGTTCTTAGGACGACATAGACATCCGTTAAAAAAGAATTTTCTAAAATGCTATCCCTTTTTTTTTTTGCGGATGGAAAATCATCTAATGACCCCTTTCGCTCTGGGTGGAGCGTAAGGGAGTATCAGACTTTTACTGACTAAAAACCATCCGTGTTCCTTCAGTGCCCTTACGTTCCGGAGCCGCGGTATCTCTTTCGAACAGCCCGCAGCCCCGGCAGGCGTCGGCCCTTGCGGGCCCCTTCACGCTGCTGACAGCTCTTTGAGGCACGCGTGGAACAAAACGCGCCGTCGACACGGCCTGTCGTCATTAGACGGACGGACGACGAGCTACCCATTGCTCGCCGTCCACAGGCCCGCGCCTACGGTGGCCGGGGGCCACGACGTAGCCCCCGACGCCCGGGGCGTCTCCCGCGGCGGCCGGGGAGGAAAGCTGCTGCTCTCTCCTTCTCCCGCTCCGCCACCTCCTTCGCCAGCATC